TTTCTTTCTTCTTCTTTCTTCTTCTTTGGTCTCTATCTCTGTGAGTGCTTTTATTTCTTTTGCAATTGGGTGGCACTGTCCTTCCTTGTGAATTTGCACGTCGGAAATAGCCAGGAGCGAGGTCTCACTTGGAAAGAGGACTGGACTCAGCGCCCGAATGCAGATGCATTTGCGGAGAGAGGCAAAGAATTGCTATTGATCTGCCTATCTTCATCTCTGCTCACAACCCATCCAGAGTCACGTGCTCAAATCCACTTTGCGTTCTCTTTTGCACGTCAGGGCATGGACCTTAGTAGTCCGCCATAGCCTAGGCATGTGAGAAGTAGGAGAAGAGGGAGGCCATGGCTAGGGTGGACCAATTGTTGTGCTGGCAATAAGGGGGAACTTCGGATATTGATTCTGGCTCAGCCTCTCATTGTTACCAGTATTATTTGGAGAGGAATAAGATTGGCGGAGACAAGGAGGAGGAGAGTGGGGAGAGAAGGGGGATTTTTCATTGGTCTTGCTGGTGTACATCTTCTTCTTCTTCTTCTCCTCCTTCTTCTTCTTCTTCTTCTTCTTCTTCTTCTTCTTCTTCTTCTTCTTCTTCCTCTTCCTCCCCCTCCTCTAACCCCTCCCCTCAGTGGACTGGCTGCTGCAACACAAACTTTTAAAAAGCTTGTCAACCCCCCCCCCCCCCCCCCCCTCTCAAACTACCCCCCCCGCAACACACATCTTTCACAAGTTTCTCTGCGGATTTGGGCTCCTCTCAGTGAGCGCAGTCCAAACCCCATCTGCAAAAAAAAAATAAAAAAATCCCTTGAACATTTTTTGGCTCGTCTGGTTTTGCCGGACGGACCCCCCCCTGTCTGTCTGGACCAGGCGTCGGCCTAACCCAGCAAATTTTCCCAAAAAGAAAATAAAAAAAGGGGAGACCTAAGTGATAAGAGCGTCGTTCCCCTAGGGGTTAGGGCTATGTAGACCCCTACCAAATGATCTAAATTAGAATCAGGAAGACCACGGGTAGCAATAGGAAACCCTAGGGACATCCTAGTACTTTGGAATCCAATCAAGACTAGACCTCAGGCTTAGGTAAGACAGCTAGGACGAAGCCAAGCCAGCAGTTCCAATTCCTATCGCTGACCCGGCAGCCATATAGCTGAGAGGAACCAGGTAGTCTAGGTTTCCGTAGGCAGGCAGCAAAAAGCATTTGAAGATAGGACAAACAAGACTAGCAACCAAAGTCAGAAGCAATGGCAGAAATAAGTCATGCAGGCTAACTTAGGGAGGGGTGAGGGTGGTTCATCCTTCCCATGGTAAGTTATCAATGCCGTCCACTCGGGCCGCTCAACCATAATGGGGACGAGCGTGTGTGTGGATCTATTGTATTCCCTTCTGACTTGCCGGTGGAATAGGAACTGGACTGGTGCCCCCCAGAATGGAAAGGAGCCAGAAACATAAGTTTTTTTTCTTTTTTCTTTTTTTTAAATAATAAAAACAGGTCCTTATGGTCCTAGCTCCATATCCATTCTGGGGGGCATCAGTCCAGTTCCTGTCCACCGGTAAGTCGAGAATTGGAATACATGGCGAACTCGCTCACACGTCCTTCCGTCTGGCCGAAGGAACCCTGACCAGCATTGACTGCTCCTATCCAGGAGGATTGACTGTCATCTTGCCCTACTGCTTTTCCTCTCAGAATCCATTTTGATTCTGTCATGTAGTTCGTGTGCAACAAGAAAATGGGAGAGTTGTCTGTATTGTTGAGACTATGGTCTCAGTTTGCCCCTCACTGGGTTGTCGTACTTGCTGGAGTTCCGCTGAGCCATCTTTTCCAGATCAATCTATTATCTGGCACTGTTGCAATCTTTCCGTGTAGGAGCCAGTCTCTCATAAAAGAACGTCTCTTGGTAGCTAGCCTTTCTGGTCTGACTTTCGTTGTTGATGTTAACCACCCTCCATCTGCGCCAAATCTCAGTTTCCGTCATACTCGACAGTAGGGCCCACATTTCTTCCCTTGCCACCTCAGTTCTCTCGATAGTCTCGGTACACCTCCTTTTCCAGATCACCCACAGAGCCAGCTTCCAGAGAAGGTGAAACCAGATTTCCTTGCCGCCTTTGAGATTGTTAGTACTGTTGGATAGGAGGATGTTTTAAGGAGATGTGGGGGGAGGGGGTGATGAGAACAGGAGGGACCATAGGTCGCGAGCTTTGTTCCATATCCAGGCTGCTTCGGTGCAGTACAAGAGGCAGTGGGGTATGTCTTCTGGTCTGTTGTCTGTGCGCATAACACATAATTCGGAGCTGTCGGGATCCATATGTTTCCTCCTCTTGTGGAGCCATTGGTTGACGGACAGGGATGCATGGACTACAAGCCACTGCATGCTTCGGATCCTAACCGGTCTGATGGACAGGTACTTCGTCCAGGGGATGGAAATGGGGTCAGTAGGTTCTAGGTTCAGGATCTCCCTCCATTTTTCTTTGAGTCTGGGAGTCAGGCCTGTAGTTTGTAATCCTAAGTCGTAACCGAATTTTACATCGTATTCGAATATCGTTCTCGTTCTCCCGGATTTCTCCTGTTTCCAGATCCACTCTTTCGGGTTGAATTTGAGGTCTGAGATGCAGAGATCAGGTTGGAAGGGTTTAGCTTCTGTGACCCTCACTTTCCTCAATCGGAAGTATTCTAGCATGTCACACTGGGGTTCTTTGTTCATAACTTCCAGCTCTTGTAGGTTGTGATTGGTGATCGGGTAGGATAAGAATTTGGAGAGCTAGCTGGGTGCATTGGTTCGAGAAACAAAGCGATAAGCTCTGCGAGGCGGGGTTTGGGAAATGAGTATGCCCCAGTCCCCGTATTTCCATGAGAAGTCGTCCCTTACGAGGGAGAGCCACTGTGTTGGGATGCTCTTCTGAATCTGTGTTAGATTTTATGTGAGGGTGTGGCAGCCTTTTAATTCATTTCGGAGCTCCTGTTCAGTTAACCGTTGTCTTCGATCTTCTGCCCAAATGTGTTTCACCTGCCACACCCCTTTTTCCACCCAGGATATCCATCTCCTGTCTTTTGTGCGTAGTGTCCATAAGGATCTGTTTTTGTAAAAAAAAAAGAAAAAAAAAAGGGAGTTCATGTCTGCATCCTGACTCAGTTTTTGAAAAGTTTGGCATCTCAGGTCATAATTGCATTGCAAGAGCGAAGCCAGGGCAAGCCTCGTCAGCATATTCCATACAGGAACTCTATGATGACGTCAGTGCTCCGGGACAGCCTTGGGGGAAACTGTCAGACGGTAAACAGAACTGATGGTTCTTTTTTTTGCCTTGCCCTTTCTCCTTGAAAACCAGAAACACCCCAGACACAGAGCGGAGTGGACAAGATAGTGGTGGCGAGCCCTGGGCCCAATATGTTTTTCTTCCTTCCCCCCCCCCCCCTCCGGGTTTCCACTTCCGGCTTCCCCCMYCYGCMCCCYCCCCCCCGSTTCCCACTTCTGGCTTCCCCCGTCTGCGCCCCACCCCCCTCCCTTACCCCCCCCCTTTTCCCTTCCCTCCCCCCTTTTCTGTTTCCAACTTGTCTTACTCCCCCAGCAAGCTCTCTTTTTCCACAAACAAAGTCGCTTCTGCCTTTTGTCACCTGGGAAAAAGGCGAACGCCACCACCCACCCTCAGCCTGTATTCAGACGACTCAAGCCACTCCCATTGTGAATGTATTGTCTAAACGCAGAAACATCCGTATGCGTTCTTGGTTCTTTTTCTTTTTTTTTCACTTTTTGTCGAGTTTCTTTATATGAATCTTTTTCAGAGTTTTTCTTCCCCACCCACCCTCCTTTTCTTGTTGTTTTGCTGCCTTGAACTACCAGCTCACCTTTGTGCCATGCCAGTGAGCATGGGTCCCTGGTCGAGTTTGAGGGGGGGCCAGGAGTGGGGACACAAAATGTCGACTCTCCAAACTTTGACAATCTTTTAGGGCACAACGTGTTGACGAGAAAATTTTGAAAAACTTCATGGATGCAGGGTAGGCACTGATATGTAAGGGAAAAATATTTAAAGAATCTGAAAAAAAGTTGTAAAAGGACTCAACCCCAGAAACTCACTCCATCATCATCATGTGTGTACTCTGGAAGCTCTAATGAATTATTACTTGGCAAATAATGTCACCCAACAAGTCAGATAGGGGTAGGTGGAATGAGCTGAGGATAGGTGCTCGGAATGCCACAGTCAGGTGGGAGTTTGGGACTGGAGATGGAGGACTGGAATGTGCTGAAGATAGAAGAAGTAGAAGAGAAGGGGGAGGATAACTCAGAAATGCGGTCAATAATTACAGTTTACATCTCTTCTCTCTCTACAAGAGCGGCACAATCGATATCAACAATCAGGTACAGCAATGGTGGCCTTCTGAAGAAGTGTGCTGCCTTCCTCTTCACGACAGGTAATAGTGTCTCCCTCAGACATCTGTCTGTCTGTTTGTCTGTCTGTCTATCTGCCAGTCTGTCTGTCTGTCTGTCTATCTGCCTGTCTGTCTGTCTGTCTGGCTGTCGCTCTGTCTGTCCATCTGTCTGTCTGTCCGTCTGTCTGTCTGTCTGTCTGTCTGTCTGTCTGTCTGTCCGTCCGTCCGTCCGTCCGTCCGTCTGCCTCTCTGTCTGTCCGCCTCTTTGCCTCTCCGTCTGTCTGCCTGCCTGTCTGCCTGTCTGCCTGTCGCTCGGTCGCTCGGTCGGTCGGTCGGTCGGTCGCTCGGTCGCTTGGTCGCTCGGTTGGGCGGGCGGGCGGGCGGGTGGGCGGACGGGCGGGCGTTCTCTGTCTGTCCATCCGTCCGTCCGTCGCGCGCTCGCACGCGTTCTCTCTGTGCGCTGGAACTCTCTTCCTATCACTGGCACTCTCTCCTCAAATGTGCTCAGCAACGAACGTCTCAACTCTGAGATGTAGCCGACTTTATTATGTTTACGGACCTGACCGGCCTCCTGTCCTTGCGCAAATGGGTGAGATTCTCCTGTCGAAGTGATTGAGATTTGGCTGAGATCTGAGGCTGCCTGAACCCAGTATGCCCTGGATGCATCTGGAAACGATTTCTGAGCCTTTGGATTGTGGTTGACTTCTACACCCCTAGAACCCTACAGCCCAACTTTTGACCCCAGATGCAGCCAGACGATACCACTCAAAGACTGCAGCATTGTCGATTTTTACCTTGGACCCTTTCAACGTTTTTTGTCTGTTAGTAAAATTCTAGCACAAAGGTGGTGCGCATGGATGCCACTGGAAGGCCTGACCCCCACAGCAGTTCGGTAGTGCAGGGGCGGGCAAAGGCGAGTGTTGGGAAAGGTGGGCTCGTATGTATTGTTTGTTTGGAAAAAGCCTATAGGCACTGGAGAAAACGTAGTAGGCACACCGTTCCTCCATCCTGCGCAACATCTGTGTTGATTCTGCTGTCAATCTCATCTACATTCTCCTGTCTATGCCTCTGAGTGGTATGGGCTATTATGTGTCTTTTAAAATGGGGTGAACCCTAACCTTCTTGCATCCATCTGATTCCATCAGGATTTGAACGCATGACCTGTTTAAAGTACTAGTAACAGTTACATGGGTGTACCATTCAGCCACATTGGGTGGGCGATATGGGATTCGTAATTTTTCTTCTTCTGGAATCCGTCTCCTCATCCGCCATCCTTCACAACTTGTATCTCCTGTTCTCTGTACTTTCAGCTTGGCAGGGGACTTTAATGCTACCCTTCAGCTCTTCCTTTTCTTTTTTTTTTTGACTCCGTTGCTCTGAGGACGAAGCAAAAAACTTCATTAAGATGTCTATGCAATGACCTGGAACGTGGTCCAGTTCGCATTCGGATAGGAATGTGGCCAATCCTGTGCAACCATGTATGGCCAGTTGCGACAGGTATGAAGAACCGTTTATCGTCTGTCATTACCTCATTTCCAGGATAATAACATTATGGTCACTGCGGATCCACCACAGCACTCCGCAATATGTTCCACCACATCTGCGGTCGATAACCTCTGTCATGGTATGTTTTTTTCCATTTTCGCTTCCACGCGTGTTAGTCACTGTTTCTCCATGCATATGGGTCATCCCCTTTTCATTCCTATCAGTGCAACAGATCTCCTGTTCGTCACACGACGTCGACGATCCCTTTTGTCCATTTCACAGGAGCGATGCAATTTTGTTGTCTTTCGGATTCTTTCCTAAGTTTCCTCCCTTTTTCTCTTCCACATGTGAGTATGTATCCTTTTTTTTTTTTTTTTTTTTTTTTTTTTTTTTTTTTTTTTTTTTTTTTTTTTTTTTTTTTTGTCTTGCCGCTCTCATCGCCTCTCTTCGTGAACATCAGCAAAGAAGATAAAAAAATGGCGATAAAACATGCCAAATCCACACCGACTGCAATTCCATACGTGTGAGACATGGCAGCAAACGGCAATTGCCAATCATACATCTAATAGGGGAGAAGGAAAAGAGCATGCACATATGCCGTACTTAACCCAGTGTCCATGTGTGTGTGTGTGTGTGTGTGTGTGTGTGTGTGTGTGTGTGTGTAGCATATCAGAAAGTGAAATGCACTGAGAGCCTAAGATCTAGCAATGACGAAAGTGGCAACAACCAGCAGCATAGGTGCAACATTCACAAGATGTCAATGTGCACGATGTAAAGAGTGAACCACAAGAAATCAACAACAACACATTCGTATCATTATCATCATGGGCTGGGWAGCAGCGCAGCGGAAGATTTAGTATCAAAAGGACACGTGGACAACAACATGAAAGGGAGAAACTTCGGAAGGGCAAGACATCAGAAAGATTGCCCTTCCRCTCACACACATGGGGAGAGATCCATAGACCTGCGAGAGAGAAGGGGGAGGGACATAGTAATCAAGTCCAACCCAAGTCTGATCTCCGAATGTCATACACAGTTCAAAGAGGCCTTGGAAAGGGCCCAGGCCGGCAGTTGACCAAAAAGTCAACAGTCAACTCGTGGACCGAGGCCCAGATCCGAGAAGTCGAAGTCAACAACAAAGATTTCCTGGCCGTTGATCCGGAATGATCTAACAGTTGTCTGCAGGTTCCGGAAGATTCAGGCCTAGAGGAGTCCAGACCAAAACTGGGACTGATCGGATGATCCGGGCCCTCAGATGGACCGATGCTGACCCTAAACAGCGCGAGTCAACGCTACAACCTCGCCACTGCTTGAGCATTCAGTCTTGCGAGTTGCTTGCGGCTACGACGCTGCGCTTGAGACTGGAGAGGAGATGCTGGCGCCAGACTGCTGGAGGGGCCCCAACCAGATATCGTAGTAGTGAGATAGGGAGAGGGCGGCCAAGACCGCGGCCATAGATGGCAGCGAGGGAATGAGGAGAGGACAGAGAGAGTGTGGGTGATGTGAGTTGTCGTGCGTACAAACCTGGTTTCTTCAGATGTGAAGCCGCTGCCGACCCTACTTGCTGTTGGAGGATTGTTTACCTGCAAGAAGCTGCTTCCACATCGTCCACGTGTTACACGGACTGCTGACGTGACACATTGAAGTGCATATTGCTGACGTGGCACATTGAGTGTGTATTGCTGGCGTGGCACATTGAGTGCATAGTGCTGACGAGGCACCTTGAAATGCATATTGCTGACGTGGCACATTGAGTGCATATTGCTGGCATGGCACATTGAGTGCATATTGCTGACATGGCACATTGTGGGCATATTGCTGACGTGGTGCATTAAGTACAGCTGATGTGGCAGAGGTGGGGAGCCTGAAGGAGAAGAGGGACTTACTGTTCTCCTTCCAACTGTCTATTCTCCCCTCCTCTCTTTTCTGGATACTGTGGACTTTGATACACGTGGTAATGAGGAAACATGTACTTCAATGACTTCAAACTGATGGAATTATTGGATTGATTATTTCATGGCATTGCACGACATTGTTATCTGCGACATGGTTGGATGACGAGACTGGGTACATTACACATGGCAATGCTCTAAAAAAAAAATTAGAGCCCTCTGCGATGGCCTACAACACCACCACAAATAAAAAATATGATGTGTGATGACCCGTCCATACATGGACTGAAACAACCAGCTGATTTCTTAGTTTTGCCCATAGACTGAATGCACTGCTGAGTTTCCCGCTTGCTACTAAGTCTGTGTGTGCACGCTTGCTGGGCTACATGTCTGTCTGAGTGCTGGATGGCTTGAGTGTGTGTGTGTGACCATGCCTGTCTGAGTGTTGGATGGCCTGGGTGTGTGCGTGACCGTGCCTGTCTGAGTGCTGGTTGGCATGAGTATGTGTGTGGCCCATCAGGGCACTTGC